AGCGATGGCCTCCAACCTACTAGCGATGGCCTCCAACAACCTAAGAGCGAAGGCCTCCAACCTAAGAGCGATGGCCTCCAACCTACTAACTAGCGATGGCCTGAAGGACAATCTGAGGGAACATGTCCAGCAAATGAGGCACAAACATCTGCCCCACGTCGCCGGAGTTCTGCTTGCCACTGGCCTTCACCTGCTCCAACCTGGTACTGGCAGGAGTAGAGGGCAAAGGCTGCTCCTTTGTTAATCTTGGAGATCCAAGGAGTTTGTCTTCAAGCTGCTTCACATTATGATGTTGAAATCGATCGAAATCCTTCCTATATAAAGAGTTCTTCAGATCCGAATGAAAACCAACACACAGAAAAAAAAGGAAAAAAAACAATGGCGAGAACCACCTCAACCAGTGGCGAGAAGCTGCAAAGACGCTGCATCGCATCCTTAGGGGTGATGCAACATGCTCGGCTTCTGACTTGGGGATGCTGTCCAGGCTGCTGACCCGCTCAACGACCGGATTTTAGCCAGGTTAGAAAAACGATTTTCTGCCAGGTGTCTGACTTCTGTCCACTTGACATTCCCAAAGGTCTGCCGCCTGGCAACCAAATGTCGCGGCTGAACCAAGCGCGGTGCCACGCGATCGCTTCAAAACATGTGCCTTTGCTGTAGCTCCTCACGCGAAATTGAGGGGTACATCACATTGTGCGCCTCAAGAGCACAATGCAGCAGTTTGGCTCAGTCGCCAGTTGCATAACATGTGGAATGACATCTGGGAAATTGAAAACATGCAACCGCGCAAGGCCTCCTCAACCAGTTGGTGTCGAAGATTCAGAATAGCTTTTTGGGCAGAAGCATTGCCACCTGCAGCTCGAGGGACTGACAAGAGCGAGGCAGCGCAACCCGTTCATTTCACCACACAAACAAAAAAAACACCAAGGGCGCAACCATGCTGCGCAAGTATTTCTTGAGCTCGCCTGGGAGGACAAAGCAAGAGGCCAAACACAACTAATTACCGACTCCCGAGCTTCAAAGTTCCAAGTTCTAAGGGCTTGGAGGAACAACAGCAAGACATAGCTGCCGAATGGAACATGGGCAACTTCAAAAAAAAACAAGCAAATCTCAAGACCATGGCATACTCAAGTTGACGTACAGTAGTGCTTCCCGTTGTGTCCGCCACTGGAAGGTCTCAGATCCAGACCCTTCAGCTGATGCCATGATGTTTCTGAGGCGTTTCTCACGCTCCTGAATCGTGAAAGCTGAAAAGTCATGTGTGCGCGTATGTTGCCAGGGGAGACCCCAAGGCAATCCGGGGACCCCATGATTGGGGGGTCTTCCTCTTCTAATACACGCCCACTTGCAGCTGGCTTCCCCAGTCAGGCAGCGTTAGTGTTTCTGTACTTGTTTCATCTTGTTTCTGTCTATGTAGTCACACTGCCTCGTTGATGCTTGAAGGGAGCGAAGCAAGTATTTTTTGATGTTGAATGTGCTTGATGCATAGTGTTTGTATGTGACCATAGACGAACGCATCTCTTCTGCACTCAACACCACCTCGGTCAGCTGGGTCTGTTTATGTCTTTTATATGTCGATATCTTGAACTTCTTGTCACTCTTGCTTAACAACTGATATATCGATGCTCTTGGTTCTGCAGAAGCCTCTTCTTTGCTGTGAGAGACTTGCTTCACCAGCCAAGCCCTGCACTGTTCTTTCCGCAATCTCGTGAGGAGCAAGGCCCAGGAACAGCCTCAACTGTTTACAGACTTCCGTGGTTCCATGGAACTGATGATGCACCATTGTTTCCTTAGCAAGGTCCCAGCTGTGCTCGAGCATCCACTTGAGCATCCTGGCCAAAAACTGTGTTGTTTGGTCCGTTTGACCGTGGACTCCTTTGTTTCCTCGAAGAAGATGTCATGAAGCTCTTTGGCTGCAAGACCTCCAGCTAGGTTTCCTATCATGTTCTTGTATTGAACATAAAACAACCCACTGTTCAAGTATGACATGAATGTTCTCCAGCCCTTGCAAAAAAATACTCCTGTTTCAATAAAAGCAGGACAACTGTAGAGTAACCTTTGCTCTGCTTTCTTGCAAATTGCCCCTTCTCAGGGATCTACACATTCCTTAGAGTCACACCAAGACCCACAACCAAAGATCCGCCACGAGCAAGTCGCCAAGCTGCCTGACCTTACGCCAAACTACCTGTTCTGTGGCCTTATGTGGCCGCGATTGGATATGTTCATTCATGTTGTGTAATTACTTCCACCTGCATCTCTTCATATGGTTTCAAGGTGCTCTTGTTTTTTGCATTGTAGTTGCAATGTGGCATGTTCGCATTTAGGATTGCTACAAGGTGGAGCAAGTGTGAGAAACACATGTCATGGCCATACTGACATTCAAAAAACCTTGAGGTCCCGGCGAAATCTGTTTGAGGCCATACTAATACATGCAACCTTTTTGCATCGGCTGCTAACCAAGTTGCACTTCAATTGCAACAGTCTGAGGGGTTTAATGCAGTCTCACCAAGAAATATGCTGAGGCTGAAACTTAACTGCCATCTCCTTCTAAAATAGTTTCATGTGCACGTTCGCTCAGAAACATCACACCACCAAACCATTGGGAACCTCGTTTCAGGACTGGACAAGTTGGTCTACGTACCAGAAAACCAGTTTGAGCACTCGCGGCTCGCGGTTGGCAGCAAAACACCCATGCAGAAACTCACCACTCATAGCCCATAGCCACAACCTGGCTTAACTGTTTTTTCAGAGGAGTGACGGAAGGGTTCATCCCACCGACGATATCAATCATGCACCTGTTTCATGCATTGGCCAACCGCCCGACAACACTTGCAGGAAAAGAAACCTCGTCTCGTGCAACTGTTTTTTCTGCTTCGGCGCACCTTCAGTAAATGCATCTGTGGTTTGCACTGATCAAACCAACTCCTCCGCCAGTCTTGATCCGGCCATTTAGCAGCGCCTGCTGGTGCAACGACACCTCTGGTCATAATCATAGCCTTCCCGCATACGTTTCGAAGTTTTGTAGTGCTTGGGGCACCTGAAGCGCATGCCCCCAATGTCCACCAGCTTCACCACATCGTGGTTGGAGTCTGTGGGTTCCTGGGTGCACCGCCCGCCGCGTATAATCTTCCGGTACATGGCTCGGTCGGCCGGGCACAAGCCTCGCGGTGGCAGGGGCGGCCGATCTGTTGAACACGGAATCGGACAGCCCAGCCTTTATGTGGAAAGGATAAGTAAAGCTGTGTTGCTGGTTGAACTGAAACACGCGTCTGTGTGCGTGTGTGTCAGCTTTGGAGTCAAAAGCGTCTTTCCAGTCTTTCAACTTTGGAGTCAAAAGCGTCTTTCCAGTCTTTTAACGCAGTTTTTCAAACGAGGGGGGCGAAGAGGACTTGCAAAGCTTTGCCCAACGAAGCTTCTTGCAAACAGACCTCAGAAGCGGAAGCTGATCACTTCTGTGTACCTGTTATTCTTGTGGGCGCTCGTAGACTTGTCTCGGTTCGTTTCCACACCTGAGCCTTGAAAGCATCAGTCAGATCAAGTGGCGATGAAATGAAACAGCTCCACTAACTTTAAGTTGGTCTGACCGATGCAAATCAAAAAGCTCTGACTCTTCCAACCTTGCTCGAAGCTTCTCTGAAGCCTTCTTCGAGCGGCTCTTGGAGCAAAGGAGAGACTTTCTCAAGGAAAGCTCCGAGTCTTCACTCCATATAGCTGTAGCTTGCCAGCACGTAGCAGTTCTACAAATACTCCGTTGGACTTCGAGAGATGTCATCTTTCGTCAAAACATCCGCTATCGTTCGAGGGCGCGGGCTCCAACGCACAGTGCTACGAGATTTGGACAAAGCCTCTAGAATTATCGCAAGCTCAACTGAGGTCCTGCGATCTTGACATTGTTTCAGAAGAGTGTCATAGAGGCTTTTTGCATCTGTTATATTACACTGCTCTATAGTTGCTCTCTAAGCAAAAAGTCGTGTGTCAGCATGGTCTTGAAGGGGTGATGGAGTTGCGCCAGTCGCGACGATCAACGCCGTTCCACGAAACATCACGAATCATGATCTGTTCCACTGTTCCACTCGACTCGACGACGCCACCGGCGTCCGAAGCAGCAAGCGAAATCATTTTCTTCAAACTTGCACTTCGCGACACGAGTGGCCGGAGAGCAGTACTCCTGATGTGCGCCATAGAATTTTGAAGCAACCAACATCATGTATAGTGGCATTCTTCAATCTAGATGCCAAGATGCTCACGATTCCGATCCTGCAGCTTCGGGTCGTGTTTGGTGAGCTAGCCAAGAAACCTTGTAGAGCATTGAACGAAAGGCCTCAAACTCCTCTGGTTGAAGAACGGCGTTCTTGTCGGCCTTGCGACCGCTCCCCAACTTGAGAACGCTCAACTTCTCTAGGATATACTTTTCCTGGCGCATGGTGACCTTGTCTTCAGGGAAAACAAACACGCCGGCCTGCGAAATCTGCTTCACCGTGAAACTCAAACCTTTGGGAGAGAAGGTCCAGTAGTTGCGGTTGATATTCTTGAGTCTTGAGTAGCACCGATGTTCAGGTCATCCACCTCTATCAAAACCATGCCTTGAATCTCTCCGGTTCCAGCTTTTTTTCACCAACCGGCAGCATGGTTCCAACAAGGCGTGAGCGAATCCAAGGCCCGCAAAGAAGGAAAACAATGGCTTGGTTCCATCGAAGTGGGGCATCGTCAAGCCCGTACACCGGTGCCACGAGCTTGATCAAAGCTCAGAGGAGGAGCCCTTATCTCGTTACTTCTAATGAAGGGTCGCCATGAGCCGGTTGGCAGTCCCAAACCAGGGCAGCTCTCCACATAGATTTAGGGGAGCTGATTGGCAAAACGCCTGCGCCACATCTGTGAGCGCAACTAATGCTGCGCCACATCTGTGAGCGCGACTAGCTCAAACAAAACTGGGAGAAGAGACTGATGGCAGGGGAGCGAATGTCGAGAAGGGTCCTGACTCCAGGTCGTGATGCCCGTGAACACACCAGCGACTGTTGAATTTCCATGAGCCAATGCCAGGCATTGGCTTCTTCCGTCTGATCATTGGGCTGGTGATCATTTTGAACGGCTTCTCCTTTCTCACACGCTCTGCCTCCCCCAGCCTTTGGATTCTTGGAAGCCCTTGTGCTCTTCAAGGGGAAGCATTCCTTGACAGGCCTAATCATCAAAGAGGTTCTCTCAGAGCGCACTTCAATGAAACAGCCTCCTGACTTCTTCGTGTTGGTCGTTGAGACTCCCCAGTCGCAGCCAGCTCCTCGCGAACTGTCTCCAAGATCTGGGTAGCAGGAGCCTCTTGGAAGGTACTTTCATTGGCGCTAGCTCTGGACTCTGGCCATCGGTTGTTCTGACTCTCCAGCGCACCTCAGTTGCCTGAGTTGATCGAGGAACGATGGTTCCAGGTCTGTCTTCACAGAAGGAAAGGGCTCTCGACAAGTGCCCGACCAGGTGGCTGCAGGAATTTCACTGATGGTCTCTTCTCTCATAGTGGCTGTTGCAAACCAAGAGGACTCACTTGAGACGATGGTACTTGGTCATCTCGTTCTCCTCTCCTCTCTGCTCAACTGGCGGAGGTCCTTCTGAAACAATATCCACGGCACCAGCTCTCGAAGACCGAGTCTGGGACGTCTGCTCTTGGATCGCCAGCACGAGCTAGTTCCACGCCTACTGCCTCATGCGTCGCAGGACCAAGTTGGTCAGAGTCAAAGCCTTGCCCACATGCATAGTCACCCACAACGCACGCCCAGCTTGAAAAACAGCAACTCCTCACCTATAGCCCGCGTGAGATGCAGTGAGCCAGCGCCAAACATATAGACCCACTGTCCAACACACTTTCTTGAACGCAGCGGCAACCGTTTGCTGGTCAAAAGCACGGAGTCCACATCCTCCCAGCCAAGCAGCTCCTGAAGACGATCGTCCGACAAGAGCTCTGTAGGAATTCAGGGGTTCACACCGAACATCAGTTGGTATGGACTGAAGCCACCCCGTGAGAACCATCGGTTCTTGCAACCCCACAGATAAGCTCTTCAAAGTCACTCGGAATCAGAAAGGGTGGATTGGCCTGCGTTGACTTCCATCTCAGCTCCCTCCTTCGCCCAAGCTCCGCGCCGTTCAGACCGACCGTTCTGCCACGGCGAAGCGCCATCGGTGACAATCTGAAGACATCCACACTGCTCCAGACCTCTTTCAAAGTGATTCTTGAATTCAGAGCCACCATCACAAATCAGGAAAGCCAAAGGCCCTCCGTCGGGCCCTCCGTCATAGTTCTTGAGCACGCCTCAAGATGGGTTCCATGACACACCACATTGAGAAAGGCGTGAGTCTTGCCTTGAAAAGAAATGTAGAAGTAGTCCACGCCAGGCGCCCGGCTAAAGGGGCAAACGTTCAACTGCACCCCTCTGTCTCATTACGCAATGAGACAATTGAACTTCTCCTTGACATACTTCATGACACCCTCCGCCTTCAGCCAAGCTAGCATCTTGCCCCTGTTCAGGCGCATCAGCTGAACTTTCTTCTTCTGCTCCTCTGTCTCCTAGTTGGAGTGGAATTGCGAAGAATCGATCCTGGTGTACGAGGCGGAGGGATGAGCTGCGCGTCCGCCTCGTCCTCAGCTCCTAAGCGAACTACTATTGCCCTCACAAGCTCTTCACGATAAACCTGCGCCAGCTTTGGGATGATCACGCGCTCATGATCACGAGCGCACTGGTACTGTGAGAGAAAAGGAAGGCAACGCCGAGATGGTTGGTAACTTTTCAATTGGTTGAGACCTCATTGATCAATCGTCAAAAATCTATTCACATCCTTCTGACTAAGGAGCCACTCCAAGGAATGAGTCTGCCAAGATGTTCCCGCAGGCTGCTCCAAAACAAAGAACTTGCCCATGTTGAATCTGAAAAGCAGCTATCTGAACGCAAAGATGCCACATCATCAAGGCGTTCATCTGTTCTCTGGTCAGTCTCTCTATCGGAATGCGATCGAAATTGACGTTCACGAGAACGGAAAACATCCGACAGTCTTGACTCAGGACGACGACATCGGCGCTGTTCTCTCAAGGTGTCCCACGTGCGTTGTCGGTCCTGTGGTCGCAATTCCAGCCCAGCTGCAAATCAAAGCTCCCAAGGTCCCAGGGTGTATGGTCAAAAGGCCTTGCTTCACCGCCGCCAGCCACTCGAGGCGGGAAAAGGTCACGCAGACGCACACTTTCGAAGGACGGCCGAGTTCAGCGGCCCATGGCTGCATTCCCTCAAAGAATGGGAAAACGTCTGCACTTGCGAAGGCTCTTCAGGCTCTTGACAGTTCTTCTCAGACTGATTGACTCGCACATCCCTATTTCGTGAAACAGAATCGAATTCAGCGGTTGAAACCGGTTGAGATCGAATTCATCAATTCTCTCTTCTGACGTTTCGTCAGCTGAATCTCTCGTCCCTCCGGAAATCATTGAATCTAGTGAACAAGTCCAAACAATCCCAGATCAAACACCAAGGCCCCAACCGAAGAAAACAGAGTCACCTGTACTGCTCCTACCGGAAGGTCTCAAGGTGAAACTCACTGCAGCCGCATCTCCCAGGACAGGCCCTCCCGATCGTGCCCCAATCCGAGCCCGGATCAAGACCCTGCGTCTGCCTCATCGCATCCACTGGCGGCTGGCGAATCTCTTCCCCAGAGAACGGGAGGAATGGGCTGCTTTGAGCTCGAAGCCATCACCATCGAATTCTGCTGACCCGAAACTTGCGCGGGTGAAGCTCTGCCTGCCTCATCAAGGCCTGATGGAAGCCCCCAACCGCTGGCGAAGGAAAGGTCACGTCGGGAGCCATCATCGCCGCGGTGTGGTTTCATCATTTCGCGTCCAATCAACGTCTCGCTCAATCTGCAACGCGCGCTTGTCCAAAAGAACCCACGTCGAATGAAACTGACGCGTCTTCAGGATCTGCAGGTTGCTTAGGGGGTTTTGCAAACCCAGAGTTTGAGCTGCTTAAAAGCAGCTGCTATGTGCTCAAAACATGTAAGGATTGCAGCAACACATTTCCTTCAAACACAATTATCTGGCTAGGAAGACAGGCCTGCTAGCCAAGCAATCTTTTTCAAAACTGTTTACCTGTGCCTGTACCTGTTGGTCAGAAGGCTGAATTTCAAACCTTTACTG